CTTTTGTCTTCAATTTCAGAGGCATTTATTGAACCCACAGATCAGTCTTTTGTGCAGGAAGCAGTTTCGTATTGGATTCAGGAACATGTTTGTGTGAATATTTCTCATACTTATACGTCAATTTGTTAAGGTTGTTTAAATTTTCTTGGTTAATTTGCTTCTTGACATGCCCTTTTCAGTGTACTTTCTCCACTGCTTATTTTTTTGCAAGAGATGTCTTTCTGTCTAACCTCTATTCTTTTCTGTCTGCTCTTGAATAATCTTCCACTATTTGATAGTGTTGACTTTCCACTTTGCAGCACTTTATCTTTTCTACCCTTCTGAATCATTTGACTCCTTTGCCATCCTTTGTTCATTTTAGGAAGAGAATAAGAGCCAATATTCTCCTGAAGGACACTTGCTCTGTTTTCCTCAGTATGAAACTGCGAATCTTCCTAGGCCTGTCTTTCAAATCACTAACTCCATGTTCCTCTTTTTTTTGACTGGGGGTTGCTAACCACTTTAGCCGGGTTTGGTGTGATCAGTTGTATCTCAGCTCAGTCATACTGGGAAGAGCATGGAGGCACAAAACCAAAGAAGCAACGTTCATGGCCTAACAACCCATGACACCCTTTGAATCAGCTGGGTATTAATGGGAAATGGGGCAGAGCGTAGGTCTTACTCCTTTGATATGATCTTCCTCCAACCCAAATGGCCCCTGTTTCATGTACCTATAACTGAGTCTGTTCTCATAGTCATTGTCTTTGCCAGGAGTGCAATATGGAGAAGAAAGGGCTTTTTGCCCATTTGTTGGTGTGCCAAGGGGTTGTCTTTAGGTGTATTAGAGCAGCAAGGGCCACGTGTCTGTCACAAACATAATAAAAGAAGAAGGTCAAACTAGATTTCTGGCTGCAGACAGCCACTGTGCAGTCTGTCTAGGGTCACTGTCACTCTGAGTTGCTTTTTTCGCATCAGAAATCTGTTGTTTCCAGTGCCCGAGGACCGTGTAGCTATTTACAGAACACACTGACATCCCAGCACAAGTCACGTACCTTTGGCAGTGGCTCAGATGGCTGGGATCTCAGGAATAAGCAATAAAACTGAAGCTCTCGAGAACATACCTTCTTTGCTAAGGAGGGGCACATTTTTAACAGTGAGTGAATATGACTGGAGATGAGTTTGACACCAGAGCGCTGAGAAGGAATATGAAGGGCACCACTCCTAATGAACAAGCTTGCTTATAAATACAGTTTCTCTTTAGAAAAAGAGTCAAAAGAAATTCTGCCTTGGAAAATACTTTTTGACAAAACCTTGGCTTTACAGGATCATTTGTTATCTTAGATGATCCTATTCTATTTTGAATGGATCAAGTTAATTAACAAAGCCCTTCTGAGAGGAACTGAAGCTTTGGGATTCTCTGAGGAAATGTAGAAGTTGAACGTGTGAGATGAGCACCCCGAAAACCTCACAGTAAATCCCCTCACCTTCAGACAATTATTTCCCAATCAGTGCATTTGAAAAATTATGACGTACTTGAAAAACCCCAAGACCACAATACCCGTAGGTTTTAAATCAGAGGTGGGGAAGGTGTGTCACATTTAAAAAAAGAAATGGCTACAAAGGCACTTTTGTTTAAAAGCTTCCAGGGTACTCTGAAATGCCTTACAGTGGGGGGCAAAGCCTGGCTGAGCAGGAAGCTGGTAGTAGAAGATAGTCTGCCACAGGCATGGAGTTTATACAGCCTTGAACATTGACTATGAATTTGAATTGAATATGTTTTGCTGAGCAGCTTTGAGCTGCTGGTGGTTGCATTTTTTGGAACAGGAGCTTTGGTGACTAGCTGGGTCGTTATACGAGAAAGAAAAGGAGAATGAACAGCCTTAAAAAAAAAAGCTACTTATACAGATTAGAGTGGTGTACTACTTCACAAAGTGTTGGAGATGTGGAGTCTTCTACAGCATGAGCTGCGATCCCACCAAAATACTGCTAGCAGCTAGCTCTCCACGAGCAGGTCACCAGCCACTACAGTCCCACAGAAGCCTGTTAACTTAAAAAAGGGGTCTTTTAAGACAGGAGGAAAAAAGGCAACATAATTAGGTAACCTGGTTCATTGAAAGCACCTAGACCATTCTCAATGTGGACAAATCAGTTTCTTTTTAGAACAAATACACATTCAACAGTATTTGGGGTGACTTCCATTTCCAATAACATTGTTGTAACATAGGAAAGAGGTATGTTTGTCTTAAGCATTTTCTTCTTTGAAACAGACAGAAGAAGGGACAGAGAAATTACAAGAGGTAGTGAGTTTAGCAAACCTGCACATAAAACAATCTTTCATAAGAATAAAATGCTGCATTTACAGCTGTAAATGTATACACTCATATAATTTAAAAATACAAAGCTATTTTTACTGTGTTTCAAGGTTGCTCTTTTTTAGTTCAGAGAATGAAACGCTCAAGTGCTGGACTTAAAGTGGTCAACCTCATTGCATTGGCAAAACCAAACCATTCATGCAGCACTGGGCTTTTAACTCATCATAAGTGAGAAAGATAAACTCAGCAGTTAGTGTAACCAAAGTGCAATTGTGTTCTTCACACTGTGTACATTTTGACTGGCTTGTAAAAAGAATGTAGAAGTTCATGACTCTCCCTGGCAGCTTCTTGCGATGACCGAAGAAAACATGATCTGCAACATATATGGCCACAGCCTGACTCCGAATGAGAAGACAGGTTTTTATCAGACAGTGGAGAAAAGTCAAAGTCAGCTACCTGGAAAAGGAACATCAAAGAGAGAATTTTTAATTCAGGTACTACTGGCTCAAGTGAGTCCAGCAAGATTACTTTGGGCCAGAAACGGTGCTTGGTCCTCAACCAGTTTCAGTCAGTCACCAAGTTCAAATAGACTTCTGATTTATACCTGTTGCACACATGGCTCATAGGCAGTCTCTCTACAGGTACATTATTCATATTGTGGCATGATGTAAAGTGTATTAGGTACTTTCCAAAGGGCCATGGAAGTTACTTTTGATTTAGGAGCTCATGCTTATTACAAATACAATAAAGTAGCAAGTGAAAGCTACACCAGAAATGGAAGGGAGCTGGGGAAATAAAGGTCACGAACTAAGGTCAGGTGACAATTTAGTGCCACTTTAGGTAACATACCCACCCTTTTTTACTCTCCTGTATGCTCTCTCATTATCCCCCTGCTTTCTTTTATGTAACCACTCTGAGGTACATCCTCTGGAAGGGATACTTCAGTGCACGCACCTGCCTGGGAATGTTAACAGACTGCCTTAACATGATAGCCTTGGCAACTTGAATTACAGCTATAGTTCTCTGTAACAAGCCACAAGCGTGCCTGTTGCTTAAAGTGTTTGCCAACACTTTCCAGATTTTGCCATGGAATGGATCAGACATACCAGGAAATAAATGCTCCCTCCCGCTCTGTCTGTCTGCGGATTAAAGAAGGGACAGGGCTGAAGGGTATCTAATTACTATCCCAGCTCAAAGTAAGAGTAACTGAATACCTCCACAAGATCTTTTTGTTGTGTGTTACTTCGAAAGGTCGTGTACAGCACCAGTCCTAGCATCACTGAAACCAGAGTGATGCAGAGCAGGACAAAGAAAGCCGGCTGGATCCCTAGGAAAGAGCACAAGGGTACATTCCCGGAGTGATACAATACACTGAGAAGAGGCAACAGTGAGAGGAAACGATGTTTTAGAACAAAGGACATGTGTTTAACAGGAAGAAATTTTTCAGCCCATATCACTTCAGGTCTTTCTGAAATCTCAGAAGTGGGAATGCAGGGTTGTGAGGTTGTAAGGGTCTTTCCCTTTTTATCCCTCTTTTCCCTTAAACAGCATAAAAATCCCCCAGCCAGTTAGGTATGTTAGCCCTAACTCTCCAGGACGTTTGTACCTCCATTGTACCCCAAGAGGATAGGAAGGAGCCTTATCTTCACAGCAGCTAGCAGCCTCCAGCAAAGAGGATTTGCACACTTAGCCCTGAATGCACACAAGTGCCTTCTGGAGTGAGCTGCCCTGTCTCTATACATGTGCTGGCCCACGGTGAGATGGTACAACCATTCTGTACCACAGCCTGGCTGTCCTCTGGTCAGGTCCTCTTCACTTGGCCACTTAACCACTTTCTCAGATGATTCAGGGACCCAAAAGGGGCATGTGTGAACATGTATGGGGGAACCAGCAGGGGTTGCTGGCTGGGGGGACAGAAACCTGTAATGAAATGGAGGCCTAAAAAAGTCTACCCTTAAAAAAAACATAACTAAACTAAACAAAAGGAAGAATTGAGACTGCTTAATTAAGGGAGCGTTACAGACATACCTGTTTTCCTAGTTACTCTCTCTAACTACAAAAGCCAGACTATTTAAACTGAAAAATACATAAATTAAGTAACTCAGCCTTCCCAGGAAACTCATTAGCTTCAAGATACTCTTGAGACTAAGGGTTCACCAGGATGCAAGAAGCTCAGAGCAATTACGGTAGGCACATCATAGGCTCTCCTTTCTCTTCCTCCTTCCTCTGCTTTTAGGGATCTATACCACTTCCCAGAAACCTCATCTGCAGGCTGGTTAATCCATAGTTGTCCCTGACATGTTTGAGACTATCAGTTCCCTGACAGGTAGGAATCTCCGTGCTGCTCAGACTAGCTGCTCCTCACCTGTTGGCCACACTTTTATTTCATGGTATGTCTGCAGCATCGTCACGCCGTTCTCCACTCTGATGCTGAGGCAATACTGTCCAGCATCACTGAAGGTATGGCTGAGATTGTAGCATGAACCATTAATCCCCACCAGATGGCATTTTTCACCTTCAAGTGGAATGCACTCGGACTTTATAATCCAGCATAATGCTAGCGGCGGGCTGAAATGACAAGAGCAAAAAGAAAAATCCAACAAAACACTTAGGTGAAAACTTTGAAAAATTTCAGCTAAGAGCTGATGAATCACTTGGTCGAAATAGCATACTAGTTATGAAAATAGTGAAGTTAGTCTAAATACAAATAGAGAAGTAATTAACTGCACATTTGGTTTATAGCATTTGTCAATTGAAAAAGTTCTTTGTAAGGCTTCTATAAAAGTAAGCCTTTCAGCTTCAGCTGAGAGATAAATACCTGTGTGGGTCATAGGCAGGCCATTGTGTGTAGAAAACCCCATAGTCCTCTCCAATAAAGATAAAAGGAAGCTTTTTTCCCTGCACTTGCACAGGATTATAGGTTGTTTTTCCTTTGTTCTTCTCACACAGAAGAAATCACTCTTTGGGGTACTGAGGCACACCCAAGACTTTTCTGATTAAAAAAATGCACAACCAAAACTGGAAAGAATGTAAAATGAGCTCTGTACAATGGACTAACAGCTGGAAAAGGTAAATAAATTGCAAGGATCACAGTACTGCCTTACAATGACAAAAAGTTTTTATTTGCTATCAAGCAGTCTAGGTGCAATCCACTTTATGGCCATGTATCTTCTCACCATGTCTAATTCATGCCTTTTATTTACATTTTCAGACCCTTGTTCCAACTGATTCTGCTTGGACTTACCTTACACACTGTGGACTTTGATTCTGACAATAGTCAGAGCTTTTCTTTACCTCATCTTATTAGTATTTCATTCCTTTTCTCTTTAGGACATTCTCTGCTAAAGAAAGCAGCATGTTTGTGTGTTTAGCTAATTTTCTAGCTTTGTTTTTGACAACCCATCTCTCAAGCCTTTCTCATTGCTTCTCTATCATAAACTCCCATTGCATGGGTCCCAGTCCTGTGACTAGGAGGTTAGGTCTGGCAAACATTGTCCATCCTAAAACCAAGCCTGCTTTTAGGGATCTCAGGTTTGCCTGTAATGGGTTTTGGCTGATCATATTTACTGCTGTGCCATCTCCAGTTTCCACTCCTGCCAACGTGCTGTTCACTTTCTGAATGCAAACTGTGCTGCTTTGTCTATTGGGACTGTTTATGCCTTTGGCAAATGACTCTCTGTTGGGTGCTGCGCACTCTATCCTGCATCCTTACTAACAGACCTGCTTTTTTTTCTTTTTCTCTTTTTCTCTCCCCCCCCGGCCCCCCCCCCTTCAATCCAGCATTAGCCTAAACAGCTCCCGGTTGCAGAACGTGAAAGTGTCACTCTTCTGGAAAATAAATTACTTCTGTTGTCATGGAGTTTTTATGGTGAAGGAGCTTTCCTGAGTGTTTCAATAGTATTTAAAATGCTTCTGCAATACAAAAATCCCTCTGATGTGTTCTAAATACTGCAGTTTGGGAGACCGTGTGCTAGGATCAAGGTGCTCATGACTCTCCTATATTCCTATAATCCTCACTGCATGGAGCCTCTCCGTCTTATTCATCTTGTGACAATCTTAGCTTTGCCAAAATTACTCCCCAAACCCATTATTCCCATGTGCCAGTCGAGGATTGCTGCTATGCAACAGGGCTCTGCACTCAGTTTAGTTTAACAGTGGGGAAACTGATGAAGGAGAAAAATTCAAAAGGAAGTTTCAAAATGTAATTTTTCCTGCTATCTTTCTCTGGGTAGTTCTCTTTTAACATTCTTTTTACAAAGATATAAAAATAACATTTGCTTTATGTAGGAAGATTCTATTTTTCTGTAAAGATGCAGGCTCTTAGAGTTCATGGTATTTCAAGTCAGGAAAACAAAATATTCAACAGTATTTTGTTCAAAGGAAATATTAATTTATTTTTTTTTTTTAAAGGGACAGATCTATGGGGTACAACTGACTATTTTAAGAAAACAGTGGGGAAAAACACTTAAATAGACAATGCCTTTTGGGGAAAGAAGTTGTGTTTGCTACTTACGTGCCATTGATATGAAGAGATAAACTCAAGTTTTCCATTACGTGAGTCTCTCTGGAACCCACTATATCAATACTTTTAACAGCATCTGAGAGGAAGAAAAGAAAGCATGTCACACTCCATGTGTAAACTTGAAATTCACTGGTTTTCTAGTGAAGGTTTGTTTTCATAGGCTTCACAGATTTTAGCTCCATCAGTCACATAAATAATAATACTTGCCTCACACCCAAACCCAAAACCTACCGGTAGAGGTGGTGTAAGTTTTCTGAGGTTTTTGCGATTTCTTTTTGATACATAATCGACTACTTTATTAATCTTTTACATTTTTACTTAAGTGTTTATTCACTCCTGAAGCTGATCAAATCAATGAGACTTTCCTAATGCTTATTTTAACTAATTTATTTTTGAGGGATAGCTGGCATAAATTAGACAAACAAATCCTCCATAAGTTATGGTAAACATTTTATTGTAAGTTTAACTGTATGTGAGATTTTTACAAAAGACAGTAGAACTTTTGGTAAATGAAACAGAAGATTTTATATCTTTCCCCTCGTTTTTTCTGCACTAGAACAGCACAAAGTCCGCTCTGCAATGGAAACACTTCATTGAGTAATGTTGACCGGTTCTGGCACGTGAAACAATGCTGAAGTTGTATTATCACATTAAAGCTAGATTGATTCTGTACATATATTGCAAGTTCTGTTTCGAGTATGCAAAATGTTTTGCAATTACCTAATAGCTCCAGAGCAGTGGTAAAATCACCAGTTTTCTGCACCGTTTCTCTTTCATGTATGATGCTTCCAATTTGTTCCCATTCAGCTATGACTTTCAGATGCACTGTGCGATTCCCCGTGGTAGAGCAGTTATAGTAGACAAAGGGTTCCTTGGTAATCTGATAAACTCTGTGTGCAACATGAAAAGATTGAGAATCAATATCACCTTTTACCAAGTGCTTGCATACTTCTGATTTAAAAAAAGACAAGCTCCAATATATTTTCTCTATAGACAATGCTACAGTCGGCTGTGATTCTAATTCTACTTTATGTCCATATCAATGAGGATTAATGTCTGTGGCATTACCAACAGAACTACAATCAGCATAAGACCCAGAGTATATTTATGAATTTTAATCAAAGAAACTGAAGACAATGCTAAAAGAGTTCACAAAATGGAATAGTAATAGCCAGTAAATTATGAAAACTACCTAAGGGGGGGAGGAGAAGAAAGAAAGAAAAAATTTAGTATTCAAAGACTAAAGCTTACATTTCTCTTTGCATACAGTTATTTGTATTGGAACTATATTTGTCCTCAGGGAAGGAAAATAACCAAATGTCTTTTTTCCTCCCTACTGCTGAGTTGCTTTACCCATGGTTTTATTTCTGATGGTTCTGAGCTATGTTGGTTTCCCCGTACCCCTCTCCATTTCGTTATTAGGTAAGCATTAGGTGTGTGCTAATGTGCACCTCCATATTATCCGACAGACCTATCCACTTCCAAAAGCTCCTTACCCAAGCTATGGTATATTTATGGGTAGCTGCATAGTAACAGCTACTTACTGCCCAACCACAAGACAGTATGCTGCTTCCATTTTCCTTAAGTGCACAAATTATTCACATATTCCACAACAACAACCTGCTAATGGAGATCTGCAGGCGTAATGATGTTGTAAAATAACAATTTACAGTAAGTTACTTTTTCCAGTTCATACAGTTCAGTTCGGCTCATTGCACACACAGTAATACACCTTAGCACATATTTGAACAAGAAACTTAAGTCTTTAAAACATCACCATTTTGTGAGTACACAGTGACTTCTGTGTCAAAGTTTTCATAATTCACCTGGTTGACATGCGAAGAACATACCAGCTGACAAAGACATATGCTTTGTCCTATGATTTAATCAGAATTTTTCTCTAGATGAGCATCTGAATCAGAGCCATCTTGAATACTCATTAAAGCAAACAAAGTAACGACACCTACCCATCTCCAAAATCCCAGTTGTAGACAAATGATGCTGACTTGAAGTAATGACTTGGGTCATGAAGACAGAAAGAAATCCGGGTTACAGAACCCATGGAGGAACTAGAACTATGCGTGATAAATCTACTGTCTTCTATCTGCGCAATGCTAAGATTCCCTGTGATAGATTCTGCAGAATAATAAGGTGGAAAAAGAATGACAGCATATATCACTTTCATAGCATGCTCTGTGTAAGTATCAAAACATTATTTAAAATGTACTGCATAAGTCTTTCTATGTCCTAGTCCAAGTGGTTAAGTGCATTTTATATCTATTACTCAGTGTTGTTACATGTGTTAGTGAGGCAGAGAGATTAAATTACTTATTTAGGGTTATACAATGGGTCACGATAAAGCTTCTAATAGAACTAGGAGATATAATCCTGGGCTGATTAACGTCAATATCAATTTTTACTATTGATTTAAAAAGAACTGGGATTAACATAAAATATCTAGATCAAGGGATTCAGAATAAAACCAGTATACACACCCTTCATGTTTGGGGTGGTGTTTTTTGTTTGTTTGTTTTGTGGGGTTTTTATGTTGCTGTTGCTGGTTTAGTTTTTTGTGGTTTAGTTTTAGCTACTTCCACAGAAATGAAATTTTGACTACTATGAATAATAGATATGCTATATGTTGTGAATACAAAAAGGGTGAAATTTTGATTTTGCTGTCTTTGAGAGATCCTGTGCTCAAGTTTATTTACAAGGACTGGCAAAGGCTGATCTAAAAAAACCCTCTAACACCTATGAATAAAGAGGTATTATGATGATACACTTATCAGCTCATTATAAAATTAATGGGCTACTAATTACCAGTAACAGACTCTTACCTTGTTAACAATTCGTTAAATCTGGTTAACCATTTTCTTGATGATGCACAAATAAGAATCACAGTTACTGCTTCAGAACGGGGCTGGTAACGCAGAACTAACTGGAGTTGTAATTTATATGAGTTATTGGCAACTGCCTTTGGGCCCCTGTGAAGCCGCGATGGGTGCTCTTGTTTGGGGCAGGTAGAAAGGTACAATGGGATCTTACTTTTTACAGCTATAGAAAGCTTCTATCCCTTTTGCTTGTGGCATGAGACAGTGCAAATTTGACAGTACAAAGCAAGAAAGGAATACGTAGATACTCAGCAAGGCAGCGGTTCTTAAGAGAGAAAAGATCTCATATATACTTTTATAAACACTTATCCAATAAGCTTGGTGTTTCTCAAAGAAAAACCTCAATAGCTATTCCCCAAAATGTCAGCTATGCCCTACGAACAACTCTTTTGTCCTCACCCATGTCCTTATCTTTGACTGGGAGCTGGGTCTATTTTGGAGTACGTAAGTAGAGCCCTGGGACATGGGGTTGGAGGGATGTGGTTATCGCTGTCTGAAAGAAGGGATTGTGGGAAGCTGTCAGGTGAGAGTTCACGTCAATCCTCGTATCAGAGATTATGTTAACCATACCGTACCATTGATCAATTTGTCAAAAAATGCATATTCATGGTTATGAATGAAATTGTGCTTAGCAATATTTGGAAATGCAGCCATGACTTCCCATCCAGTTGCAGTACATTCAGTCAGAACTTTAAAAGAAAATGCAATGGTTCTGTTGTGCTGATGGCCTAAATTTTTGCTATGTCATGCAACAGGGAGAATCAGTCAATTGTCACTGCTGCTGGTCATCCTAACTTTAGGATCAGAAATGCTGGGAAGCAGTACAGGAAGCATTGTTTTAGGAGTCTGGACATCACTGAACAACACTGTGATGCTACTGAAGCATCCGGTTTGTTCATTTTCTCTACGTGATAGAGGCAGGAAAACGTGGGCAGGATCACACTTGCTTCCCAGATGGAAGTAGACTACAGCAGAGCCCGCTCAGTACAGTACCTCTCAAACCCACCTTCAATCAAAGGGCTACACAAATCAAACTCTGTTGGCAGAAGCCTTATTTACACCTGGCTTTCATTTTTTTGATGCTAGCAAAGGCAGCAAGCATTCTGATGTATACTGAATTCCTAAAGACACAGAAGTTGTAAAGCCATTTTACCTGTAATCTGAAGCACGGTGACATTTCTAGCAACCGGCCGACATAACCAACAGTTTCTATGAGTCACCCAGACAGATACAGGAAAAGTCCCAGGAAATTCACCGCTCACATTAATTACGGAGTTAAACCGCTGCTCGGATTTCTCTATCAGAATCAGAGGAGCATAAATCCAGTTAAAGTGATACAAGTTTGATGCAACACTGTCATTCTTCATACTTAGGCTGGCGTGAACAGTAGCTTGAGCTCCTGTTGTGATGGGACCATTGTTGGTTATTTCCAGACCATACTCCCCTGTGGAAATCAGAAGGAAAAAAAAAATCCAAACCTTGTATTGCATTTTTTATTTTATTTATTTATTTACACATTTTAACTAGTCAGCTGTAGTTCTGTGACTCACAATGGCACTCATCCCAGCAAGGACTTTACCACCTTCTTTTTTTTTTTACCATTTAAAAACCTGGAACAGAAACTGTTGCATGTACGTATCAGTTCAAACAAGTAGCATTAAATGATATGTTAAACTGGCTCCTAGAAATGTTAACAGTAGAAGGGAGCTTCAAACTAGAACACCACAAAAACTTTGACGAGGTTTTATAAGCAGAGCTGGGCAGTGGCTGTACATTCAGTGTCACTAATGATCTAAAGTGGACACTAAACTTCCAGCTACTGGACGAAAGTAAAGCTCAGCTCTAATCTCTGTCCTGAAAAAAAAAAAAACCAAACAAAAACCCAAAACCAACCAACTTTCCACCTCAGGTAAGACTTAATCCAATAGATTTCTTTGTCAGCTCTGTTGACCTACAAATCTCTCCCACCTTCCTCCTAAATGACCAAACCCCTCTCAGTACCAGCTGCTTCTTCTCTGTGGTCCACCATTGACTTTCTTTTCCAGGAAAGGGCCAAAAATCCCAATGTAAATAAAACTTGTACCATGCCCTAGGGGCAGATCAGTTGCCATCCAGAGGGACCTGGACAAGCTCAAGAAGTGGGCCCATGTGAACCTCATGAGGTTCAACAAGGCCAAGTGCAAGGGCCTGCACCTGGGTTGGGGCAACCCCTGCTATTAATACTGGCTGGGGGATGGAAGGGAATGAGAGCAGCCCTGTGGAGAAGAACTGGGGAGTACTGGTGGATGAAAAGCTGGACAGTGTGCACTTGCAGTCCAGAAAGCTCATTGTATCCTGGGCTGTATAAAAAGAAGCATGGCTAGCAGGTTGAGGGAGGGGATTTTTTATGATGAGGGTGGTGAAACACAGGAACAAGTTGCCCAGAAAGGTGGTAGATGCCCCATCCCTGGACACATTCAAGGTCAGGTTGGACTGGCTCTGAGCAACCTGATGTAGTTGAAGACGTCCCTGCTCATTACAGGGGGACTGGACTAGACAACCTTTGAAGGTCCTTTCCAACCCAAACTATTCTATGAAACAGCAAGGCATGAGAAGTACAGGACCCATGATGCTGAACCACCCCTGCTGCTCTGGATCGCTCACTGTTATTTTCTCTGCCATGTTTACATAAGCGCCTTACTTCAGCTCTTACAACTACTGCAACGGGCAGAGCAGAAGTGAAGTTGGGTTTTATGGAAAGGATACACTCAATGTTTCCAAAAGATAGCAGTGCAACAAGATTAAATGGCCTTCATGTGTTAAAAACAAACAAAAAAACCCAACCAGAAAACAAAAGTAAAGGCAACAACTACTAAATGTTGTGAAGTGGGGCAGAGCTGGGAACACGATCTGGTTGTTTTCCTCCAACATGAAGCACGTTCCCTCCCTGCATCGGCATTCTGCCTGGCTGTCCCCTCACGAGCAAGCAACGGGGCAATGCTGGGCAGATCAGCAGAGCTGTGAGGGTTCTCATGCTGGTGACTTTGTTTCTCCTCTCTTTCAGCAGGCATTAGATTGCTAACAGGACCTGAATCTTTGAGCTTCAGAAGTTGCATTTCTCACTCATCCATGACCTGTAATGTGGAGGGAGCACTGGGGTCAGCCTTTGTGCTGCCCTTCCTGCACTCATCAGCTTGGGATGGGGTGGAAGGAGAAACCAAAGCATCTACTTAGTGCCCCGACTTTGTTTCACAGATTGCAGGCCCTGAGTGAATCTGGATACAAAAGGACTGTGAGAAGTAACGGTAACATTACTGTCTGAGCACGAACTCCACTGCTCCCGCTTCATAACACAAGGAGTGGCCCTGAGTTCAGATTTTTGAGTTAAGAGAGAAATGCTTGTGGTTTGATGAGCTCTGGCAGAGAGGTTTCAGATCTCTAGAAGATTCAGGCTACCCTCTGCTTTGTTTCAGCAGAACTTGGGAAAAAAATAGCCAGCTACATCACGCTTATCTAGCACTTCTCCTTGGAGGTTATCACAGTGCTTTACAAACCAGGGCCACGCTGAAGCCCAACAGCTGCAGCAGTTGGAGATTAGGTGGCTAACCCAAGGTCACTCAGTGAGTCACTGATGGAGCAAGACTTTTCATCCAATTCAGGGGTTTCTTCTCGGTTTCCGATCTCCCTTTGCAGAATGCAGCACAGTGAGGCTACCATAGTGAGGGACAGAGGCTGCCCAGGTGCATTGCGACCCACGGCGCTGGGTCAGCGGAGGAAGCAGAAGTGCAGCTTTTGCGTTAGGAAGTGTAAAGCAGAACCCTGGCTCCCCGGGATGCCCCAGCTTCACTGCAAGCACCAAGGTCGCAGAGCCTGAGGATAAAGTCTGAGGTGGCGAGAGGCTGCGCGGAGCTGCCTCCATCCCCTGTCATGACTAGCAAACTCGGGCAGGGAACCACCACCACCTCACGAGTAAAGCAGCTCACGCCTGAGGTTTGCCCCC